GATTACGGGCTTGAGCCACTGTGCCCGGCCAAAGTTTACTTCTTAAAATAGGAAGTGCCATATTGCCCTCTTAAATAATTGTATTAATTTGCTTTCAGAATTCTGAGTATTATTTTTGTAATTATTCTTTTACATTTCATTTCTTTAATTGTATGTGACGGTAGCCATCTTTTCATGTTAAAAGGCATTTATAGATATATATTGTGTTTACACTCTTAATTTATGGTATCATTTCAAATCCATTTATGTCATTTATTTTACGAATTAGATTCTAAAAACAGGATTCCATCCAATTGTTTTAAAAAATCTTTATTGCTCTTTTTTTCCATCAAATTAAAAAAAAAATCTTTATCATTCTTTTTTCTTCCCCTCCTCCTCCCGCCTCCCAAGATGGAGTCTCGCTCTGTCTGTCACCCAGGCTGGAGTGCAGTGGCACTATCTCAGCTCACTGCAACCTCCGCCTCCCAGGTTCAAACGATTCTCCTGTCTCAGCCTCCTGAGTAGCTGGGATTATAGGCATGCACCACCACGCCTGGCTAATTTTGTATTTTTTAGTAGAGATGGAGTTTCACTATGTTAGGCTGGTCTGGAACTCCTGACCTCAGATGATCTGCCCACCTCGGCCTCCAAAAGTGCTGGGATGAGCCACCACGCCCAGCCTATTGTTCTATTTTTTTTTTAAGGTTTTATTATTTTTGGTTACCAAATTGACATGTGCTCATTAAATGAAGTGACACAATTAAAAAAAAAAGTGTAATCTCCCCCTTTTCTCCATTTCCACTCCCTCCCTATGAGTAACTATTTTATTTTTATTTTATTTATTAATTTGAGACAGAGTCTTACTACTCTGTCGCCCAGGCTGGTGCGCCTGTCACTCAGGCTGGAATGCAGTGGTACAATCTTGGCTCACTGTAACCTCTACCTCCACCTCCTAGGTTCAAGCAGTTCTTGTGTCTCACCCTCCTCCCAAGTAGATGAGATTATAGGTGCCCGCCACCATGCCCGGCTAATTTTTGTATTTTTAGTACAGATGGGGTTTCCCCATGTTGACCAGGTTGGTCTCGAATGCCTAACCTCCAGTCATCAGCCCACCTCTGGCCTCCCAAAGTGCTGGGATTACAGGCATGAGCCAGTGCGCCTGGCCATCCCATGAGTAACCATTTTAATAGTCTAATGTGTATCCCTCAACACATACATAGGTGTTTTGTTTGTTCCAAAAATATAATTATGCATGATATATGTAGCTCTGAAACTTTTTCATGTAATATTTTATGGCCATCCCTCCAGGTGTACCTATAGTTCCAATCCATTCTTTTTCATAGCTGGGTAATTTCCAGAGTATGAATGCACCAATTTACTCATTTCCTTACGTATGAACATGCATGTCATTTCTAGTTTTTGTCACTATAAAGAATTCTACAAGAAATCTGTAGACATCAGATTCACAGATGAGATTGTGAAGGTCAAAGAGTACATATGTGTACTTTTAATTTTAATATATATTACAAGATGACTTCACACACTATACTACCAGTAAAAGGAGTGCCTTTTTCTCCACCTTCGTTGTTTGATAGGTGAAAAATGTTGGTCCCTTTAAAAGTGATAATCTTGACTAGTAGTGTGGTTAAGCATCTTTTCAAATGTTAATGACCAATTAGGTTTCCCCCTCTCGGGAAGAGCTCCTCATTGCCTTTGCATTTTGTCAGTTGGCAGGAGTTCATTTCGTCTTGGGAATGTCTAATCCTTTGTGTAGCTAATCTTTACAACTATCTTCCAGTCTATTTCTTGTTTGTTAACAGAGTCAAGAAAAAGTTCTTAAAAAATACAATCACACAGGTTTATATTTTACTTCAAGACATCTCGGTTATCTGTTTTGCCTTATAGTTCAAACCATACTGCTTTGATTAACGGAGCCTTTTTAGTAAATTTTGATCTGAAAAGGCAGATATTCCTTATTTTTCTAGAATGTCTTGGTGCCACACAGTTTTCATACTCGTTTCTTTGTGACATATTTTAAGCCATCATTAAACGATTAGTCAGCTGTAATGAACTTTAAGAAGTATTCATTTATATTTTTACTTTTGTCAACTTTCTGGAGGCTGGTGTTACATCGAGAAATAAGGCCACACCTGCCCACAAGTTGTCCCAACCCTGATCAATGCCTCACTGGAGAACGAACCGAGTATGGATACAACGCACAAAGACAAAATTCTGTTCGGCCTCCGTAGGAAGCTGAAATTGAGAACAGAGACAGTACAAGAAGGGCAATTAAGATACCTTTAAAAACAAGACGACCGGTGGGGACAGCAGAGTAGAAGTTAGAAAATTGGAGGTGGCAACGTAGGTGCCCCAACTCTAACCTATGGGAGTCACCAGAGCAGAGGCGGAGTCCCATGCCGGCCACACCCTCTCCGCCTCCGCAGTCCTTTTACTGGAAAACCGCAGTAAAAGGCGGAAACGCGCGGAGGCGTCTTGATCTTCCGGTCTGAGAGCTCGCTTCCTTCAAGCCTTGGGGTGGGGGAGACGGGGGGGTTGGAGGGGGTCTGCCTTGCCCCAACCGCCGCGCCTGACGGTCGTCCATTGGTTGTTTGCATTCGAACTACATTTCCCAGGAGGCCCTGGGGTTAGACTGGCCGTAGCTGGAGAAGTGCCAGCCCGTCATGGATGACTGGAGCCAGCCTCTTGCCTTCCGTCTTCCAGGCAGAGCCACAGAGAGACAGGCTGCAGCCGTCCTGGCCTCCCTCCGGCCCTGAGAGCGCCCCGGGCCCGTCTCAAGCGTTACCGTCTCAAGCGCAGATTGCCGGCTCTGAACGGGGAGACCAGGCTTCTGCACCGGAAACAAGGCACCGGTTGTGACGTGACGGCTGCAGAGCGCCCGACCTCCCAGAAGGCACCGCGTCCCTGCAATTCTCCTCAACTGGTCAGGGCGCGAACGAATAGTCGCCGGTGACCTGTGAGGGCACTCGGAAGGGCGAGGGGAGGGCTCGGCCGCTCGCGCCTAGTTTTTCTATCTCTCCCGGAGCCTGAGTCTCTGAGCCGTCCCCAGCAAACGCTCAGGGGCTGCAGAGGCCCCGAGAGGTGAGGGGCTCCGTGAGGGCGGGAACCAGGCTGAGGCCGCCTCTGGGGAACGGAGCGTGTCCGTTGCTGAGGGAGAAAGGCCGGGTAGGGAACCTGGTGAGCGCCTCAGGCAGGGGCGCACGCTGAGCTTTACGGTAAAGGTGTTCCTTGACCAGCGGAAGAGGCCCCAGAGTGAGCCTGGCCCGGCGGGCCTTAGTGGGATGTCGCCTGCCGCTCTCAGCAGAGCTTTGACGGCGGAGAGGAGTCGGCAGGCGGTGTGTGGACCCCTCCTCGGCCTTGCGTCTGCTCCCCGGGAGAGTCACCAACCGCCTCCCCGCCCAAAGGGCACCGGAGGGAGCTTCGGTTCGAGGGGTACAGTATGGCCAGTTTCAGTGACCGACCTGCTTCTAGGCGGATGTCCTCGGTATTGACCCCAGATTTCCTGTCTTCTAGCCCATTGCTCTTTCTCCAGACCTGATTCAACCTCTTCCTGGTGGGTTTTACACACCGTCTTTCTGTCTTTTCTTTCCCTTCCCTGACTCCCTTCCTCCTTTCCTTTCTCTTTTCCTTTCTTTTTTAGAGTCAGGGTCTCGCTTTGTCATTCAGACTGGAGTGCAGTGGCGCGATCACAGTTCACTGCAACCTCGACCTCCTGGGCACAAGCAATCCTCCCACCTCCCGAGTAGCTAGGACCCACAGACTTGTGTCGCCCCGCCCAGCTAATTTTTTATTTATTTTTTTATAGAATCGGGGTCTTGCTGTGTTGCCCAGGCTGGTCTTGAACTCCTGGACGCAAGCAATCCACCCACCAGGGCCTTCCAAAGTGCTGGGATTACAGGTGTGAGCCACCGGTACCTGGCCACACTTTGTATTTCTCAGGAGGCTGGACCTTGGCCTTCTCCCCGCCATTACTCCCTTGCCTTTGGACTTGAGGTTTGCAGAGTCTCTTTTTTATTCCCAGGATCTTCCTTTAACATCTTCCTAAGCATATCTTGTTCAAATACTGCGTTTCAGTTATGATTTCCTAACCCCAGCTGTCGTTTTCTTTAGATCTCATGTAACCTCACTACCCATGCCACATATTGGAGTGCAGTAATGCCTTTCCTGGTCTTGTGGGTAATCCCTGGTTTCTCTGTCCACAGCTTGGCTCTCTGGCAGATTTCCTCTAGTAAGAGGTGGCTCTGGAGGCCCCGCGAAACGAGTGTGGTGTGTGGTTGCAAGGCATGATGGCTGCAAAAGTGGTTCCTATGCCCCCAAAGCCAAAGCGGTCCTTTATACTGAGAGTTCCACCAGACTCCAAGCTGGGCCAAGACCTACTTCGAGATGCCACTAATGGGCCCAAGACCATCCACCAGCTAGTGCTGGAGCACTTCCTCACCTTCTTGCCCAAGCCAAGCCTGGTCCAGCCCAGTCAGAAAGTCAAGGAGACCTTGGTTATTATGAAAGATGTGAGCTCAAGCCTTCAGAACAGAGGTGAGAAGCACATGCTTGTTTCACTAGAAGAGGAAGAGGAGGTACTGGAGTCTAAGATAGGCTTCTGTGTTAGTTATAAATTCAAATTAGGATGGTGTATATTGAAAAAGGAGTCAATTCTAGTGTTGGAAAGAGGAAATTCTTCTCAAGTGCTGGGTGTGGGTAAAGCCACACAATAAACAGTGTGCATCTTTCTGTAGTGTCGGTTTTACCCAAACATTCTGAGGGAAATATCTTTTTGGGATAAATCAGATGAATTATTGACTTAGGTTTAGGTGGAATTTTAGAAATTTTCTGCTTTTTCTGGGCATCTTCACACTTTACATTGCCCCGAGCTCTCCTTTAGTTATACTCTATGGGAAATTCTGAAAGGTGTTTAGAGAGGTCATTATTTTCATAAAAGGGAGATGCCATAGGTTCAAGACCCTAGAGTTTATGGCTTGACCTCCATAAGGGCTCACAGGAGCAGAAAAGGCCATGAGTTACCTGTCAAAGGAATGAGGACAACCTGACCTCAAGGTATGGGGAGTCTCTGTGTTAGAATCACTGAGTTTTTCACTAACAACACCTTCCTCTTTCCCCAGTGCATCCTCGTCCCTTGGTGAAGCTTCTGCCCAAAGGAGTCCAACAGGAACAAGAGACAGTGTCTCTGTATTTGAAAGCTAACCCTGAGGTGGGTTTGGTTTTCCCATTCACTGCCTGAATCCATCACCTTCCATGCTTGGCCAACGTGTGTGTAAAAACACATTCTTAGGAGTTGGCCTTCTTGGGTGTTTTTCTTCTGCTTTTTCCTTGAGCCCTTCTCAGCCTGGCTGTCCTGTCTTTGCTGCACCTCTGTGGGATTTATAGGTCCCTCTTGCCATCCCTTCCCTTGATCTTTGTGTGTCAGGTTTTGTTACCAGTAGGGCTGTCAGTGAACCTCAGTTACTAAGATGAAAGGGGCCTCTTGCTCTTTCAGGAACTGGTGGTCTTTGAGGATCTGAATGTATTTCACTGCCAGGAAGAATGTGTGAGCTTGGATCCTACTCTCACCTCAGAGAAGGAAGATGACAGCAGTGTCGGGGAGATGATGTTACTGGGTAAGAATCACAGCCCAGCCGGGCGCAGTGGCTCTCGCCTGTAATCCCGGCACTTTGGGAGGCCGAGACAGGCAGATCACGAGGTCAGGAGATCGAGACCATCCTGGCTAACACGGTGAAACCCTGTGTCTACTAAAAATACAAAAAACTAGCTGGGCGTGGTGGTGGGCGCCTATAGTCCCAGCTACTCAGGAGGCTGAGGCAGGAGAATGGCGTGAACCCGGGAAGCAGAGCTTGCAGTGAGCCGAGATCGTGCCACTGCACTCCAGCCTGGGTGACAGAGCGAGACTCCGTCTCAAAAAAAAAAAAAAAGTCACAGCCTTTGTGTGTTCAGGTTGTTTACTTTGGGACAAGCACGTCCTTCATCTCTAGCTTTGGGGGACAATTCACACCTGGTAAGCCTGTGTACACACACACATTCTATTTTATTTTTGTTTTATTCTGTGTGGCAGAGCCTTTCCACAGCTCCAGCTGTGGGTGAGTGGGTGGCCATTTTCCCTATATGTTGGGGGCAGTGAGGGGAGAGGTAGGGAAAACCTGCAGACAGAAACTGTGGGCATAGAAACTGTTCTGAACCCATTTTCTGAACTCTGTTCTCAACAGGTATATTTGAATGTTTTCATTGAACACATGACTAGCTCTTCTAATCCCCGTCCCCTTTTTGATGTTCAATAGATGTGAAGACTACTAGCCTAAGTGAAAATATATTCCACTATTGATGAAAGTAATGTTTAACACTTAATGAGCACTTACATGCTGTTACATGCTAGGCACTAGTCCAAATGCTTTTCATGTGTTTATTGTCTCATGTACTTCTCAGAGTAATATTGAGTGGTACAGAAATTACTGCCACCTTACAGGTGACAGAACTGAGGCAGAGAGGAGTTAAAACATTTGCTAAAGGTCACACAGTTGTAAGCAGTGGAACAGGGATTCGGACTCAGGGAATCTGACATCAGAATTTGCAGTAATGGCCCAGGGCTGTTCTGCCTCCTAGATGCATTTCTCATAATTTCGTTGTTGGTGAATGGGGCATTCTTTTTTTTTATTTCTTGAGATGGAGACTCTCTCTGCCGCCCAGGCTGGAGTGCAGTGACGAGATCTTGGCTCACTGCAAGCTCCGCCTCCCGGGTTCACGCCATTCTCCTGCCTCAGCCTCCCAAGTAGCTGGGACTACAGGCGCCCGCCACTACGCCCGGCTAATTTTTTTGTATTTTTAATAGAGACGGGGTTTCACTGTGTTAGCCCAGATGGTCTCGATCTCCTGACCTCGTGATCCGCCCGCCTCGGCCTCCCAAAGTGCTGGGATTACAGGCGTGAGCCACCGCGCCGGCTGGGGCATTCTTTATTTGTCCTCATTTCCCGGTAATAGTTGACAAGTGTCCCCCAGTGCTGTGTATGAACTGATCAGGCAGAGCCCCTCTATAATTTGCTTAGAGATGCTTTACCTTTTCTCTAGAAATGCTGCAACCCTAGAGGCAGAGGCCCACACAAATGTCTTTACTGAGTGCTTGACACTTTTTACTTTGCCTTCAGGGCTGTTTGCTTCTGAGGGTGAAGTTGTACAGAGAATAGGTTTTAGGAGTTGCCTGGGGTGATAAAAATCCATTATCACTATGAAACTCTTAGCTGTAATTATACCATATGGTCAGAAGTATTGGTATGTAATGAGTCTAGTTAATTTCCCACAGGTTGCTCTATGTGATATCTTCTTTATTTTAGAGAAAAGTATAAAAAGATCAGATTTATTACACTGAGTTTTTCCTGAGTCTTGGGCAGAGCTAGCATATTTTGGGTGGCCGGTTAGTGGATATATTGCCTCCAGGATCACTTTGACTATGCACTTTGGGGCCCTTAAGACCCAATCCTCACCCTCTATTTCCCGCTTCCTCCACCCATACCCTGAAGCTGATGGATTAAGCTTAGTCATTTACCAGCATTTCATAAATGTACTTGTTTTTTCCTCAGGCAGGATTGGGTTCTGGAATTGTATTTATAGGTTACAAAGATGCTGTATTCCTGCCTTTTATAACCTTCCAATTTGGTTTATAAGACAAGTTATTCCTTAAACGATAAGCAGTGTGAAATGTTTATAGGTATAATGAGCTATCGCAAGACTGAAGCAAGATTTGGACCCAGGAGCAGAGTAGGAAAGAAGGTGGAATTGATTTTGGATGAGATTGAATCCATGATAGGAAATAAAATGAGATTATCCTCCAGATATTTGGAAATTGGGGATTGGAGTTCAGATGTGAGGATATAGGGATTGGGGAGTCATCAGTTTATAGGTGATGATAATTGAAACAGTAACATTTAACCAATTTTTGTGAAAGAAAAACTATAACCGATTGAACATTGTGGTGACAGGAATCAAAGGAGAGTCCTTAATAACCTAAGGAAACAGAATGTGTGTGTTGGCCAGATGAACCACATAAAAACAAGGAAAAACGTCGAACACTTAAATAGATTCTTAGTAAGATAATTCTTACTATAGCTACTGTATGCTGTGATAGGAGAATACAACTTTTCAAGATTGAAGAAAACTGACTAAATACTAGGCAACAAGGAAAAACTCAGATTCCAAGAAGTAGAAATAAAGTAGGATCTGTCACAATGCAGTACAACTAGAAATTAATAATAAAGATCAGTGAATTAAAGTTGCTTCCACCTGGAAAATTTAAAACTCTTAAGCAACTGTCTTAGTCCATTTTGTGCTGCTATAAAAGAATACCTGAGGCTGGGTAATTTATAAAGAAAAGAGGTTTATTTGGCTCACGGTTTTCTGTAGGCTGTACAAGAAGCATGGCGTCAACGTCTGCTTCTGGTGAGGGCTTCAAGAAGCTACTCATGGTGGAAGAGAGCAGACTTCACATGGCAAAAGAGTAAGGAAGAGAGTAGGAAGGTACCAGCCTCTTTTAAACAGCCACATCTTTAGTGAACGAAGAGCAAGAAATCACTTACTATCTTGGAAGTAATGGCATCAAGCCATTCCATGAGGGATCTACCCGCATGATGCAAACACCTCCGACTAGGCTCCACCTCCATCACTGGGGATCAGATTTCCCTTTTTTTTTTGATACAGAGTTTCACTCTTGTTTGAATTTGGAAGTTTCCTTCTTTTTATATACTCTGGAAATTTTCCTAGCATTTGAATTATTTAATTTTTAAGAGTTTAGAAGAATTTTCTGTGGAACTGTCTGAGGCTGGTGCTTTTCTTGGGTAGGTGGCTATTCTTTTTTGATAATTTCAATTTTCTCTATGGAAATTGATTTATTTTAGTTTAAATCTTAGTAGTTTTTTTCTGTTTTTAACTCATTACTTTCTATTTGGTGTTTATTAATACCTTTGTTGTTTTAAATCAGAGGCTTTATTATTCTCATTTTTCTAAATTAAACATGTTTTTACAGCCATGAACTGTCTCATGAGCATCACTGTCAGTTATACCATAGATTCTGATATACACTTGTCCTTGGTATTCATGGGGGATTGGTTCCAGGACCCTTGCTCAGATAGCAAAATCCATGGATGCTCAAATTTATTATATAAAATGGTGTAGCATTTGCATATACTCCACACATATCCTACCATATATTTTACTTCTAGATTAACTATAATACCTAATGCAAAGTAAATGCTACATAAATAGTAAATAGTTGTTATACTAAATTGTTTAGGGAATGACAAAAAAACTGAGTATGTACAGACAAAACCATCCTTTTTTTTTCTCTCAAATATTTTCCCTCCTTGGTTGGTTGAATCCTCACATGCAGAACCCATGAATATGAAGATCTGTATAATATTTTCTAGAAAAAAATACGCAATTTTAATTTGTCTTTACCCCTCTGACCCAAGGTTGCTGATACAGTTTGGATATTTGTCCCCTCCAAATCTCATGTTGAAATCCAGTCCCCATGCTGGGCACAGTGGTTCACGCCTGTAATCCCAGCTTTTTGGGAGGCAGAGGCAGGCAATACCTGAGGTCAGGAGTTCGAGACCAGCCTGTCCAAGATAGCAAAATCCTATCTCTACTAAAAAAAAAAAAAAAAAAAAAACAACAAAAGTTAGCCGGGTGTGGTGATGCATGCTTGTAATCCCAGCTACTCCAGAGGCTGAGGTAGGAGAATCACTTGAACCTGGGAGGCAGAGGTTGCAGTGAGCTGAGATCGTATCATTGTATTCCAGCCTGGGGGACAGAGTGAGACTCCATCTCAAATAAATAAATAAATAGAAATAATACAAATCTATTAATATTTATTATATATAAAGGAGAAAAATCCTTTGTTTACTTGTATAGTTATGAAAAGATACTTACCAGGCGCAGTGGCTCACGCCTGTAATCCCAGCACTTTGGGAGGCCGAGGCAGGCAGATCGCGAGGTCAGGAGATCGAGACCATCTTGGCTAACACAGTGAAACCCCATCTCTACTAAAAATACAAAAAAATTAGCCGGGCATGGTGGTGGGCACCTGTAGTCCCAGTTGCTGGGGAGGCTGAGGCCGGAGAATGGCGTGAACCCGGGAGGCGGAGCTTGCAGTGAGCCAAGACTGCGCCGCTGCACTCCAGCCTGGGCAACAGAGTGAGACTCTGTCTCAAAAAAAAAAAGAAAAAGAAAAGATACATGACAAAATTCAAGCCTCTCCTTTATAAGAACATTTAACAAAATAGTAATTAATGGATACTTCCTTAATAGGTAGAACAGAGTAATCTGAAAACTTAAAAATAAGAACATTTGTCTTAACTACTCTAAAGGGAAAAAAATGAGACCATTCACTAAAGTAGTGGGAGATAAAGTGAATAAACAGAAATCATTGACTTTCACATATATAAACAAGTTTATTTAGAAAATACAATGGAAGGCCCCATTAGAATAGAAACATGAAAGTTTAAATACTTAGGAGTAAAACTCAAGAAATGTGCAAATTTATGAGAAAACTTTAAAACAAGTCTAAAGGACAGAAGAGTAGATTTCAGTGAATGCAAAAAAATACTATGTTCTTGGCTAGGAAGACAATATCGTAAAATGGTCATTTCTCTTGTTGATTTATGAATCTGATGTCATTTTTTTTTTCAACAATACCAATAGCATTTTTCCCTTGGAACAAGACAGTGTGATCTCAGAAAGTCCCAAAATAGCCTCAAATACACATGGGAGTTTAGTGTGTGATAAAGTTGGTGTATTAGTCCATTTTCACACTGCTATAAAGAATTGTCCGAGACTTGGTAATTTATAAAGAAACAGGTTTAATTGACTTACAGTTCAGCATGGCTGAGGAGGCCTCTGGAAACTTAAAACCATGGCAAAGGCAAGGGGAAGCAAGGCACCTTCTTCACAAGGCAGCAGGAGGGAGAAGTACAAGTAAAGGGGGAAGAGCCCCTTATAAAACCATCAGATCTCATGAGAACTCTCTATCATGAAAACAGCATGGGGGAAGCCCCTGCCATGACTCAGTTACCTTCACCTGAGTGGTCTCTCCTTGACATGTGGGGATTATGGGGATTACAATTTAAGATGAGATTTGGGTGAGGACACAAAGCCTAACCATAAAGAGGGACTTTCTGATAAAAGGTGTTAGGACAACTGATAGCCATTTGATAAATTAGTACCTTACTTTACATCCCAAGAACAAGTCCACATGGATCAAAGATTTTAAATGTTTAAAACAAATATAAAAAGCACATTTAGAAAATATGAGTGATTCCTTTATAACCATGGGATAGGAAGGTTTTTGTAATTAAGACTCAAAAGCCCAGAAGCCTTGAAAGAAAAGATTGACAGATTCAAATATATAAACAAGGCTGGGCATGGTGGCCCACGCCTGTAATCCTAGCACTTTGAGAGGCCGAGGGAGGTGGATCACCTGAGGTCAGGAGTTGTGAGACGAGCCTGGCCAACATGGTAAAACCCCATCTCTACTAAAAATACAAAAATTAGCTGGGTTTGGTGGGGCATGCCTATAATCCTAGCTACTCGGGAGGCTGAGGAAGGAGAATCACTTGAACCCGGGAAGTGGAGGTTGCAGTGAGCCGAGATTGCGCCACTGCACTCCAGCCTGCGTGACAGGAGCAAAAAGAAGTGCAAATTAAACCTCTAGTGAATTAACATTTTTGTATTTCATATTTATAGAAATAGAAACACATTGATGGTGAGGTTGTTAAGAAACAGGTATATTGCTGGTGGGCATACAAAATGGTACAGTCCCTGTTTAAGGGTAAATGCATCTGTAACTACCCATCTTACCCTTTGTTCCAGCAGTTCAATTCTGGGAATCTGACCTACAGATACAGCAACAGAGCACATTTGAAATGATGTACAAACAAGATTATTTGCTGTGGTATTGTTTGTAAAAACACAAGGTTGGAAGCAGTCCAAATGTAGTTAAAGAGGAAGAGTTCAGTTAAAAATTAAACAAGAAATCATTGACAAAGATTTACATTTATAAAACTCTTAACCCAATAGATTATTTGCATAATCAAAATCCAAAGTAAAACTACAATGAGAAACCATTTTATACCTATTATTTCAAAATTTAATGCTAACAAGATTAGGTAAAGTTAATATTCACGTATTGATGGTTGCATTGAAATTAGTAGAGCTGCTTTTGAAAGCAGAATGGTAGTTCATGTCAAGAGCTGTGGTAAAAATTGGCATTTCATTATCCTAAGGGAGTGATTAAAAAGAATAATTAAGGCTGGGTGTGGTGGCTTACACCTGTAATCCCCAGCACTTTGGGAAGATTGCTTGAGTACACGAGTGCAAAACCAGCCTGGGCAACATAGCAAGACCCTATCTCTGCCCAAAAAAACTCAAAAAAGTGAAATTAAAAAAAAAAATCTATTGGTGTGAAACTGCGAAATCCAGCAGAGATTCCTACTCCAGCTTCAGGATCAGCCCCATGTCTTGGCGGTTAATTTGAACCCTTGACTCTGAGTAGTCCAGAGTTGAGGGGTCCCTTGTCACACAAGTATGTCCACAGCATGCTTGTTTTTCACGTTGTTACCTAATCTTTATAATCTGCTTACACTGACTTTTTTCTGAAGTATTATAGAAATATAGAAAAAGCCTACCAATCATAAATATATAGCTGAAGTTTTCACAAAATTTTGTACACACTAATCACCACCCAAAATGGGGACTTTTCTTAGCATCCCAGAAATCCCTTTTGTGCCCTGCACCCAGTCACTACTTCCTTTCCTACCCAAAGAGAAACACTACTGACTTCTAATCCCAAAGCTTCATTAGTTGTAGTAATCTCTTTAATCGCCAAAGAATAAACTTTTTTTTGTTTTGAGACAGAGTTTCGCTCTTGTTGCTCAGGCTGGAGTGCATATGGCATGATCTCAGCTTACTGCAAACTCTGCCTCCCAGGTTCAAGTGATTCTCCTGCCTCAACCTGCCTGGTAGCTCGGATTACAGGCATGTGCCACCATGCCCAGCTAATTTTGTATTTTTAGTAGAGACAGGGTTTCTCCATGTTGGTCAGGCTGGTCTCGAACTCCCAACCTCAGGTGATCTGCTCACTTTGGCCTCCCAAAGTCCTGGGATTACAGGCGTGAGCCACCACGGCTGGCCAATAATAAGGTTTTGTATGAATATGCTGTGCCTTCTTTAATTTGGATTATTGGAATTGTTTCCATTTTCTCATTGTAAGACATTATAATATTATTTAGTGCTATAATAGTGTGATAATATTTAATATAGTGAAAACCTACAAGTGGTTCATCTTACTATTCAGTTACCAGACTCCTTCAAGATGATGAGTGGTGCCGTGTATAGATTTGTAGTCTTCATCCCTAGTCTTTAGCTGAGTGCTCTGCAGAGTATAAGGTGAATATTAACTTGTCGAATAACACCTATGAAGAGAACAAACATACGAATTCTTTCTGTGAAATCCCACTCATTTTTATTTCTTTAAAGTGTGCTTGCATTGTGGTAGATGGAAAGATTTATGAGTTATGTATCCCACCCTCAATAAGTGTGGAAAAGGAGTGCGATGGCAGTATCCGCCACTCCTCAGATTGACTTTAAAGGTGGCTCTGGCTTAAGAAACATGACTTGTTTTTTCCTGCCTGATGTCATATCTCTCAGAAGTTGTTAAATTCTCTTTGTTTGAACAGTCAATGGCAGTAATCCTGAAGGTGAAGATCCTGAGAGGGAACTTGTAGAAAATGAAGATTATAGAGAAAAGTCTTCAGATGATGATGAAATGGATTCTTCCTTGGTCTCTCAGCAGCCTCCAGATAACCAGGAAAAGGAAAGACTAAATACATCCATTCCACAAAAAAGGAAAATGAGAAATCTGTTAGTTACCCTTGAGAATGATGCTCCTCTAGAGGAACTCTCAAAATATGTAGACATCAGTATTATTGCACTTACTCGAAATCGGAAGACAAGGAGATGGTACACTTGTCCACTGTGTGGAAAACAGTTTAATGAAAGTTCTTACCTTATTTCCCACCAGAGGACTCACACTGGAGAAAAACCCTATGACTGTAGTCACTGTGGGAAAAGCTTCAATCATAAAACAAACCTCAATAAACATGAGCGAATTCATACAGGAGAGAAACCTTATTCCTGTTCTCAGTGTGGAAAAAACTTTCGTCAGAATTCTCATCGGAGTCGTCATGAAGGAATCCATATAAGGGAGAAGATATTTAAGTGTCCAGAATGTGGGAAAACCTTCCCAAACAATGAGGAATTTGTGCTTCATCTGCAGAGTCATGAGGCTGAGAGACCATATGGTTGCAAAAAATGTGGGAGAAGATTTGGTCGGCTGTCAAACTGTACCCGGCATGAGAAAACCCACTCAGCCTGTAAGACTCGAAAGCAGAAGTAATACCAGGAAAGGGGTCTGATGGTGCTGCCTCAACCTGAGAGCTTTCATAAGTAGTTCTGAATTCCCAGGCTGCCCCAAAAGATATAAATATGTAAAAATCTCATTATTGCCAAAATTGGATAAATGCCCATCTTGGCTAAAACCTCAAATTGCTAGAAAATTCACAGGGAAGAAAACATTTCAAGGGCTATACCTCAGCATCTAGGCTTTCTGGACTAAGGACCTTTCCTTTTTGAAGTCATATGATAATGTACAGGTCACAGATCCCTTTCCCAAGACTTTGAAGATGAATCTGGAGTCTGCTTACTTGCAAGGGAAAGAGTGACTTGTGTCTATTGGAAGTATATCCATTTTTCCCCACATGGGGATTCATACTTGAGAAATAGTGCAAAGATGCTTATCTAGAACTGTGTTCTCGTGAAAGAACCAAACTACTGGCTTGTTGAGCCAACAGCTTCTGATAGCAATTCATATAACCCTCTAAGAACACCTGTTTTAAGTCTTGAGTGTTGAAAGGAATTGTTTACTTTGGAATATAGGAAAACAACAATTGAATGTCAGACTCTCATTTGTATGTGATCTAAATTTGCAATCAATTTCAATAATATTTGCAATTTGTGATAAAATTGACTTTTACAGATTCCTTTTCACAACATAATTTAAGTGTCTACTGTTCTTACTGTATTTTGTTCAGCCATTGATCTCTCCAACAGGCGTCTCATGCTTCTCCCTTGCTAAAAGAAGTTTGGATTACTCAGGCAGGGCCATCCAGCCCCACCACTAGAAAAGCTTTTCAGAATCTTGTCCCTCTGTTGAGCCCAGATCTCATGTGCTAGGAAGGAAACCCCAAGACCCAGAGAGGAGGGGTTGACCTGGAGGCAGGAAAAAGTTGGCTTGGATCCATGTCTCATCAATAACCTTACCACATGCTTAGGTCCCCTCTATGCCGTCATCAGACCTTTGGCAATGGGGTGTTCACTACCTCACAAGGCAAAGTGTTGTATATTTAGAAATTACGTCTGTAGTGGTTAGCTCACATTGCCCCTCAAGAGACAGGTTTCCAGGTGTCTTCACTGTAGTGGGTATTCATTGTCTTCAGCCTCTTGATATCCAGACCTTCCTGTCCTCTGCCTAGAAGCAAGGCCAGCGGTGCCTTTACAGGACCAATCCTGTGGTGCGATTTAGGGATTCTTGATCAGTTTTGCTTGCTTTAGGTTTCTGGAGGTTATACATTGGTGTTTTGATTGGAAGAAAGAAATCCTATAAATAATTTGGGAAAAATTATAGTGTATGTTTCCCATCCAGAAACATGCCTTTGTATTTATTAGAGTATTATATTCCTGTGAAAATTTTTCTAATTTTCTTCACGTTTTACACGATTTTGTTATTGTAGTTTTTTCCATTATATTTTTATAGTTGATTATTGCTTTTACATGGGAAACATTTTTTATTATATATTTGTGTAATTAGTCACCTTACTGAATGTTGTTAATTTGTTGTTAATTTTCAATAGTTTCTTGGTTTAGTTCTGTTACAACTTTTGGTAAAATGACACCATCTACAAAGAATAGTTTTGTTTCTTGCCTTCTGCCTACTGGTCTTTTTTGTTTTGTTTGTTGTTATTAACATGTAATTCTGAAGTTTCTTGTTTTGGCACAAAGCATTCTGAAAGAAGGACATTCTATGATACAGTTCACTCCTGAGTCATAATTTAAAAATAAATCCTCCACAACAGAGAAAGGCCACAAAAAAACTGTCTTTACCAACGTTATATTTCAAGCCAACAGTAAGTACCCTGTAAAGCCAGCAAAGCCAACAAAACTGGCTGCCCACAACGTTACTTGCTTACTTGAAATTCTGGCCAGTGCTCTAGGACTGGGATCCCAAACTGTGTTTCCAGAGCCGGCAAGCTGTTACCATGTGCAGGGACCTGCCTGTGTACCCAGAAAAGTAGCTGCCAGGCAGTGAGTGATGAGAGTCTCCACTCACTCACTCTTGGCACCCCTGCCCAGAGTCGGGGGTTTTTATCAGTCCTCATGCAGCTGTGGCACAGTACCCAAGACACTTTTTTTTTTTTTGAGACTGGCTCTGTTGCTAAGGCTGGAGTGGGGCGATCTTGGCTCCCTGCAACCTCTGCTTCCTAGGCTCAAGCAATCCTCCTGCCTCAGCCTCCTGAGTAGCTTTTGTTTTTTTAAGTGTAGGTGAGTGAAGCCACCATGACGCACACCATCTCCTGCACTGGGGAGGTGCCCACGGTCAGGTTTGCTGTCAATCCGTACCCAGTGTCCCAGAGGGCAGGACACGGGCCTCAGGGTTTCCTTCCGCACCAGTGGGGCCGGGTGGGACTGAGAGGAGTGCCCCGACCAGGACCAGGTACGGCCTCCTAACTCGAGAGCCCCTGGAAAGTTGTCGGAGTTCTCTTACCTAAGGAGCCTGATCACCGGTGAAACTGAAAAAGTAGACAACAGCTAATAGTTTTACAGCGGTAGAGCGAGAGTTGGAAAATGTAAGAGACCAAAGATCCAATTCCAGTAGTAACTACAGAAAACAGGCCGGGCGCGGTGGCTCACGCCTGTAATCCCAGCACTTTGGGAGACCGAGGCGGGCGGATCGTGAGGTCAGGAAATTGAGACCATCCTGGCTAACACGGTGAAACCCTGTCTCTACTAGAAATACAAAAAAATTAGCAGGGCGTAGGTGGTGCACGCCTGTAGTCCCAGCTACTGGGGAGGCTGAGGCAGGAGAATGGCATAAAACCCGGGAGGCAGAGCTTGCAGTGAGCCAAGATCGCGCCACTGCATTCCAGCCTGGGAGACAGAGCGAGACTCTGTCTCATAAATAAGTAAGTAACTACAGAAAATATCAATCCCCTGAAGACGCAGCGCTAGGCTCACAGCCCATGGAGTTTCCTGGAGGTAGAGCGGACAGAGGTCCAGAATCTCTCGCACACGTGTACCTGGCTACAAACTGACCACTTCAGGAACCAAAGGATTCTAGAAGAGAATGAGGGCTCTGGGACACACAGACAGTAACAAGACAGAAACAGACCATTTTTAGATAATGAAACGAGTGGCTGAAAAACATGAAAGGATGTTCAGACTTACATAATCTAAGAATTATAAATTGAAAGAACAAGATACCATTTTAGGTGTATCAAACGAGCAGAGGGAGGCCAGGCATGGTGGCTTATGCCTGTAATTCCAGCACTTTGGGAAGCCGAATCAGGAGGATGGCTTGAGGCCAGGAGTTCAAGACCAGCCTGGGCAACATAGTGAGACCCTGTCTACAAAAAAATAAAATAAAAATTTTTGGTCGAGTGTGGTGGCTAACGCCTGTAATCCCAACACTTTGGGAGGCCGAGGCAGGCAGATCACCTGAGGTCAGGAGTTCAAGACCAGCCTGGCCAACATGGTGAAACCCCATCTCTACTAATAATACAAAAAGTAGCCGGGTGTGGTGGCAGGCATCTGTAGTCCCAGCTACTCAGGAGGCTGAGGAAGGAGGATTGCTTGAACCCGGGGGAAAGCAGAGTTGCAGTGAGCTGAGATTGTGCCACTGCACTCTAGCCTGGGCTATAGAGTGAGATACCGTCTCAAAAAAAAAAAATTATTTTTAAAATCTAAAAAGCAGTATCAAGATGGCATGGTGGCATGTGAGTGTAGTCCCAGTTACTCTGGAAGCTGAGGTGGGAGGATTCCTTGAATCCAGGAGTTAGAGACCAGCCTGGGCAACTTACTGAGACCACATCCTTTTTTTTTTTTTTTTTTTTTTTAAAGAAACAGGGTCTCACTCTGTCACCCAGGCTGGAGTACAGAGCTGTAATCATAGCTCACTACAGCCCTGAACTCCTAGATTCATGAGATCCTTTTACCTAACTCTCCCAAGTATCTGGGACTGCAGGGACATGCCACCTCACTCAGCTAATTATTTTTATTTTTGTAGAAACGGGGTCTTGCTATGTTGTCCATGATGGCCTCAAACTCCTGGGCCCAAGTGATCCTCCTACCTTGGCTTTCCAAAGTGCTGGGCTCGTCTCTTTAAAAAATAAAATAAAATCAGAATAAATGGGAAGTTGACTCCAGCATGACAGTGTGAGAGTGCCTGCTCAAATGAGTGGCAGAATTAGGGCTTTCTGAAACTCTAAATACATCCTTCTCTTGACTGGGCGCAGTGGCTCACACCTGTAATCCCAGCACTTTGGGAGGCCGAGACTGGCAGATCTCAAGGTCAGGAGATTGAGACCATCCTGGCTAACACAGTGAAAACCCAGCTCTACTAAAAATACCAAAAATTAGCCAGTGGTGACACGCACCTGTATTCCCAGCTGCTCAGGAGGCTGAATCAGGAGAATCACTTCAACCTGGGAGGCAGAGGTTGCAGTGAGCCAAGATTGCGCCACTGCACTCCAGTCTGGGCAACAGAGTGAGACTCTGTCTAAAAATCAAATAAAAATTTTAAAAAATTAAATAAATAAATCCTCCCCTTCCTGCCCCAACAAAAGTCTGATCTTTCCATCAGATGTTTTCGTGTCAAGGTCTCTGTTGTGAGAAAGAGTAAACAACCCTGATAGGAGTTGGCCTGGCCCTCACAGCAAGGTTTTTGTGTTCTACTGATAAACATAGAGCATTTCACTGAACATCAGTATCTAATAAGGCCACACTCTGACTGTGCTAGAGCTAAACAAAGCAAGACCATTCTGCAATGATGTCTCATCACAAAAACATGACATTGTCATAGCCACAAAAATAACCAAACATCCCCCTATGCTGGCTGAAATGAGTGACTGCTGTTCCTTTGGCAATCACAGCTTTGGCCTCTTCTTTCCTTCTAGATAAAATATATTAAGATACCCTTTCAGAATTATCCCTATTCTGTAACGGCATCTACTCCAGAGCACAAACTCATTCCTAATTCCTCACCAACATTACAAAAGCAGAGGTCCTTTTTAGGACTCTTCCAATGAGACACCTCACTATTTCCAATGCTGTGTATTCTCCCTTGTTATAATGAGTAGTAAATCCAACTTACTGAACTACAGGTGTGTTCCTTCTTGGTTTTGGCAGGAGGGCATTGACAATTGGAATTGTCGGGTCATTTAATTAAAGGATCTCTCTTTCCATCTTTAACCTGAAGAGTCTATATCAAGGGTTTTGTTCTCCCAAAATAGATACCAGATGTTTCTCTTATAAAAACAAATGCTGGCCAGGCGTGGTGGCTCACATCTGTAATCCCAGCACTTTGAGAGGCCAAGGCGGGTGGATCATTTGAGATCAGGAGTTCGAGACCAGCCTGACCAACGTGGTGAAACCCCATCCATCTCTACTAAAAATACAAAAAAAAAAAAATTGGTTTCACATATCTGTAATCTCAGCTACTCAGGAGGCTGAGGCAGGAGAATCTCTTGAACCCAAGAGGCAGAGATTGCAGTGAGCCAAGATCGCACAACTGCACTCCAGCCTGGGTAACAGAGTGAGACTCCGTCTCAAAACAAACACACAATGCTAAGTTTCATACAGTAGAAAAAATAAACAGAATTATCTCAGAAATTAGCTCCTTCTAGGAATTTCTTAGCCCATATCATTATTGAACAGAAAAGAATTTCACAGCAATCACTTTTACAAGAGCCCCTTTTATGTCCTTGTTCTTCAGGCTGTAGATAAAAGGATTCATCATGGCAGTCACCACTGTAAACATCACAGCAGCTGCTATATCTCTCTGAGTTGAGTGGGAGGATGAAGGGCTGAAATACAGAGATATGATGGTGCCACAGAAGAGGAGAACCACAGCCAGGTGGGAGCCACAGGTGGAGAAGGCTTTCCATCTTCCCTTCATGGATAGGACCCTCAAGATGGCACAGGCGATGTGCATATAGGAAGCCAGGATGCAAAGAAATGGGGTGATCATGACTACGGCAGTCTCAGTAAGAATCATCAACTCATTGAGGTGTGTGTGTGAACAGGAGAGTTTCACAAGGGGAGTCACATCACAGAAGATGTGGGGGATGGTGTTGTCTGCACAGAATGAGAGTCGAGCCATCAGCAGGGTGTGCAGCAGAGCATTCAAGTTGGTAACCACCCGTGATCCAGTGACCAGCAGGGCACAGAGCTGATGGGTCATCTTTGCTGCATAATGTAAGGGGTGGCACACAGTGACAAAGCGGTCATAGGCCATCACAGCCAGGAGGAAATTGTTCATGTCAGAAAACATACAGAGAAAACACATCTGCATGAGACAGCTAGAGAAGGAGATGGTCTGAGTCCCAAGTATGTGATTGGCCAGCATCTTGGGGACGGTGGTGGAGGAGAAGCAGACGTCCACAAAGGACAGGTTGCTGAGGAAGAAGTACATGGGGGTGTGCAGGCGGGAGTCTGTGCTGACGGCCAGGATGATGAGCAGGTTCCGCAGGACGGTGGCCAGGTACATGCTCAGGAAAAGCACGAAGAGGAGATGCTGCTGCTGGGGCTGCCTGGAGAGTCCCAGGAGGAGGAACTCGGAGACGCTCGACTGGTTTGTCCTGCTCATGGGCCTGATCCCAGATGCAGATAAGACAGACAGAGATCAGCAATGTAGAAGCTGAGGCTCCA